AATGCAAAGATCTTTACTGCTAATTGCTTTGAAAAAAATAATTTGGGACCATTAGTCTGCCTTATTGGAAAGTCTACTTCATCGCTATCATCATCTTTACCAGCAGTCCCTCAAGGCATCCTGCTTTACCCTAATCTGAGTTCAGCACATGGATTTGTGGTCAGAGAGCCTGGGTTTGGACCTGAGCTGTCATTGACTCCTAATGGGATAAGGTCCCAAATCTAGTACTTGAGGATCCCTCATACTAGGTTCTAAGCAAGGCATTTGATATCATAAAGTATCTCATCTAAAAATTTAGAACAGCCTAGTGAGGGGGCTCTTCATTTCATCATTTGGCTGACAAGAAATGAGAGGTGCAAAAAGGTTAGGGATGTTGTTAAATACACAGCATTTTGTTCCCTTCATATACTGGAGCACTGAACATAGCAAAAATATATATTGAGAAAAGAACTTATTTTAATTAAAAATTTAAAAAGACAGTTATAAAACTATACATATTCATCATGTAGAAAAATTAGACAATATAGATAAGTAAAAAAAAAAGAGAATAAAGTGATAATTCTATCACAGATGAATTATTAGGTTTATCTGGCCAGGCCTTCTTCATTACGTACATGTCTTTTGTTCTTTATTTTTGTTTTACCAAAGTGAAGTCAAACTGAATATACCATTTTGTACCTTCATTGTCACTCAACGATCTATTGTGAACATTGTCCATGACAACAAATATTTATCTAATATACCAACTGAAATTTAACTTGAAAAATATACCTTTGTATTTTCTAAAAGCTGAGATTGAAAATGTGAGATGTAATCTACACAGTAGTAACAAACATATTTTCATAGGTTATGAATGATCTTATTGACACACTGCTTCTCCAGGTAACTTGGTAGCCCTGCCTTCATTTCATTCTTTGGAGACTGGAGATGTTTCAGTTTGAAAGCAGACGTTTAAGCTTCAGCACTCAGCAGTTTGTATAACTGCACTATCTCTAAAGCCATTGCATCTATATTCAGAGCTCTCCAGGCAGGATTTGCACAGCATTTGCATTTGCATTACGCAGGTGCAGTCAGACCTCTCCCTGGTCACTTGGATAGGAGGCTCTGGGATATTTATTGGAAGAACTGATTTAGTTGGAGAAAAAGTGAAGTTGGTGAATTCAGTCAGGGTTGAACAACAAACATATAAATACCAGTTTCATACTATTTTCTAATTTTCAAAATGTGAGATTGCTTGTATGCACAGAGTGTTGTCACATAGAATTCACCTGTACTACTATAACAAATAATAGCTGGGCATATAATTCATATTCTGCTTTCTTCATTTAGCATATGTTATGGACATATTTCCTGGTAATGACCCTTTGGGGATGAATTGTAATGATTGTACTAATATCTAATAATAGGAATTATTATAATTTTAAAAATTATTCCCCCATTATTGGGCAATTTAATTGGAATTTTCCTATATCTTTGCTATTACTTAGAACAGCAACATTAAAAAAACTGCCAGTTGCTATGTGAAAATGGTATTTCATTTTAATTTTCTATTCTTTTATTGCTTGGATATAGTTTTCATATATAAGCTAAGTATCTCAAAGTTTTCTTCACATTATTCATATTCTTAGCAAGCACCTCTTTAAAAATAGCGAAGTTACATGCATCTCATGCATCAGTTATTAAAAATTTAGATTTGGTGGAATCCAAACTTGATTGATCTATGCAAACAAAACAGATAAAACAATTTTTAAGCCTCAGCCATTATTCTAATTTACATACAGTTTTAGTCTTTTATTGTATTTGATAAATGCATCCTTTTTAAAAGGAATAAAGAACTACAGAGCTCAGTGGAAAGCCGTATAACAAAAACTGCAATTCAATGTCTATACCCAGACAGGGATTGCATGAGAAAATATGCAGAGAGTGCCTAATACTTGGCATAGAGTAAAGGATAAACACTCTTATGATTATTGAGGGAATTATTTGTAAGTACAGTGGTTGGTTATGGGTATCTCTGATCTGATAGTCCATGAGTTCTAGCATTTCTTCTACCTTTACGGTCAGTGACTCCCTCTCTCCTTCTTTCTCTCCCTCTTTCACAGTTGAATCACTCTGGGTGTGATTAGTTAATATCAACGTGCTAAAGTTTCTTCTAGGTTAACCTCAAGGGACTTGAAGTTGGTAATACCTTGAGGCTCCCTTTTCTTATCAAATATAGTCCAGAAGGGTCTCTCATTAGCTGGTGATGCTTGGTTTGTATTATAAGAGGTCATATGTAAACCATTTTCAAAGGAGACGTAATCAGTGGTACTACTCCCTAGGAAACAGAGCTGTCAGTTCCTTCATTAAGCATGCTCTCCTCCCTACTTGCTTCTTTATAGCTGCAGTGTGGCCAGGATTCTGATCCCTCAAGTTCCTGTGAGAAGACCCCTTGTGACCTCATAGTCACACTAAATTTGACATCATAAAGAGAATATACCATAGGACCTCTGTGTGACCACCATGTTGTAAAAACTAAGACCACAGACTGGAAGTGTGGAGTATGATTTTGTCTCTCTAAATCTGTATGCTGCAAAGAATGAGAGCAGGTGTACATGAGCGAAATTTGAACTACTGCCACACCGAAGCACATGATGACCATGCAAGGCATGAGGTGCAAATCCACAAAAGAGGAAAGTAGAAAGCCAAAGGGTGGTTTTCTTTAGGTCCCTCCAACCAGGAGTCAGGCTGATCATGGTGAAATGCTGTAATGTTGCGAAGTGCTATCATGTGGCTAAATATTCTGTGGTGTGGATTGGAAATTGAGCCATAAGTTGGCAAACTTGGGAGATCCATTTGCAGACTTCTAAAGGGGTATTTTTTCTAAGGTTCATAAAAACATAAGGGTCTTTGATTTTGTTGAGATTTATTTATTTTTTTCCTCTGAAATTTTATGGGATATGGAGCTCTATTTTGAGATATTTGTTTCTTCACTTCTGCAAGCTTCATTCCATATTCAAAGTCCAATTGATTCACCTTTAAACCTACTGTTCTGGCTTCTTTTCAACAAAGATTGTTTAGAAGCCACATATTGAATTCATGTCAAACAAGTAGCGAGGTTTGACTCTACAGCCTCTTCATTTCTTTCTCTTCAGTTTTCTGAATCTACCTATTTTGTTTTCTTGTTGATGTCTTCATCACAAAGTAAATATATGTAGCTTTCAATTTCAATGTCTGTTTTTCCTAAGATAAAATTTATTATTTAGATTATTCTTTGCCCATCCATTTTTTCCTACGGCACTTAGGTATGTGTTTATATTTTTATATGATTGTTGCATCTTTGAGCAATCTAACCTTAATTAATTTTAGTCTTAATTAATAAAAGTCATCGTCAGATGCCTCATAAAATTAATTTCTTCTCAGGTAAATTGACATTCTGATTGTTGATTTGCTCAGCTATCATTTTTGACAGATTTTTGGTGTGTATTTTAGAATTTTAGAATGCTGGCTCATTTTAACAAGTTTATTTTAATCTGTTTTTTTCTCTTTGTCTAAATGCTTCCCCTTTAACCCACTTCATTGGCATTTGAGCTCTTGTCCATGGTGATACTTGAATATTATAGATTCTGAAGGTGGCTTGTGTTAGTTTTCAGTTGAGGCTACATCAGTGTCCTCTCTGCCTCGGGCCTTCTTTCACGGATAAGAGGCCCACACACCAGTGCTGGCTTCAGGCACCAAGCCTGACTGGGGCCCTTGTCTTCCAGAGCATTCTGGTCCCACTTGCTGTCCAGGAGTTGACCTTCCACAGACCCTGCCACCTGGGACACAGTCAACAAGCCCACAGCTTCCACCTGGCTCACTTGTTCACAGTTCTATTCAACCTTTTGTCTCTGAAAATCTATTTATCAACCATGCCTCTTTCTTTTTCCTTCTTTCCTTCATCTCTACCTTTTATGCATATTTTTCTTAAACAGTAGCAGCAATAATGAAATTTTTGTGTGATTTTGGAGGCAAGGGGAGCTAAAAACATGAACTGTGTAATCTTGATTGAAAACAAAAATTTGCTTCTTAAAAGCAAGTCCCATATTTCTGTAAAGCTTACATGCTCCTTGTGGTTAGAATGATACAATTTTTAAATGATATTATAGCGTAGTGTTCTCTTGTTAGACTTTATTTTTTTGATTAAACATTAAGATATAGAGTATACCTTTTTAGTGAATGTGTATTTATCCATTTAACAACAAATATTTGTTGAGAGTACACTGTGTGCCAGGCAATGCTCTAGGTGATAGGACTACAGAAGTGAATAAAGTTCCTGCTCTTACAGAGCTTATATTTTACTAGAGAGAGAGAGAATATGCAAACAGGTGAACACGTAATATTATAGGTACTCTTAGATGGTGGAATCAGAGGCATCCTCAAACCCAGAAGTGGGCAGGCAGCAAGTGCAGATGGAAAGAACTCAAAAAGAAGCCCTCTGCTTCTGGTATTCTCCCCTGTTCTTATAAAACATAGTTTCTTTGAACACTAAGACTTCTCTGACATGTATAAGAATCTCTTATACATTGGTAAGGAAAATGGTCAGAAGATGTTATCTATAATCAGATATTCTCAAGAGAAAATCAAATGGTAAACAAACATATGAGAAAAATGTTTAACCCAACTGCTCATTTACAGAGTAGCAGCTATGAGATTCTATTTTTTATTGCCACTCTCATCAACTTGACTGTCTTACAAAGTTAACACTCAGTTCTGACTTGAGTTTCCTGAAACAGCTTTGTGTGTGTGTGTGTGTGTGGTGTAGTGGTGATTTTTAAAATACATAGCTTTAAAAATTGGAAGGAAAAGGTTGGCAATGATATCTCTGATACTCATTTTTTCTTTATGATTTTCTATATTTTCTAATTTTTCTACAATTATATTGACTGGTCAGAAGAATGTACTGGATAGCCATGCAGACCCATTTTGGGAGGCACATGTTAACCTGTCAAATGACACCTTCCTTTGGTATTGATGTGTAGGTGCCCCCTCTGGCACATGTGAGCAACAACGCAAATAAGATGGCACTAATTAACCCCCAAGGAGTCAAGCTCAGTATCTACAAGCAAAAAGTGGAACAGGCAATTAAATCCTATGAAAAGTGAGTATTACTCCTGGCTGCTCCTTAATGGCTGTGCAATTTGTCTGTTTGGGCTTGTTTTCTCTTCATCTGGAGCAGCTGTTCAGAAACTCTCTGTAAGAAATACCAGCAGGGGTGGCAGCTAGCACAGGGGTTCCTCAGGGCACTAAGTACGGTGCCTGGGTGTGTCTGACGGACATTTAAAGACCCCATCTTCCTTTTCCAGAATCTATAGAAATCTCATGTTCCCATGAGATCTTTACAAGCTTTTCTTTCAGCAGAGTGAATGTGATCATTTCAACACCTAACATTCTGGAAAGTGCCTAATAAAACTCCACAATAATGAGAACATGGAGCTAGTATAAATGTTTGCTATTACGTAAACCATTTTTACACTGAAATCATGATCGAGTTGGCTCCAAAGTCATATTCCTACATGGTCACTGTGTTAGTGCCGGGATAGAGGGCGTCTTTTCCCAAGGGCGGATGACCCAGTCTCACCCTTGGTCTGTCATCACCTCCCCTCCCCCAGCACTTAATTAATCCTTGGTGCCCAGACCTTACTTAAACTTTGAGCATGCCCAGCTTTTCCCAGCAAGCCTGTTCTTGGAAGCTGCACAGTTGGGTTTTCATTGAGTTTTCCCGTGGGTGGGGAAAAGGAAATAAAGTACACAAAGATAATGAAGTGTCCCAGGCCAGCATGTGCTTGTCTTTTGTCATTTTGCAGTGTGGCTAGTGTGTGTTCAAAAGAAGCTTAAAGCTGACTCCTGTCACCTGGAACATAAGCAGGCCAGAGGCTGGCCTTTGCCTAGTACGTCATCGCAGGCCTCCCGGAGTCTCCTTCCTCTTGAGCCTTTCCTGCTGCTTCACCTGAGGACGAGGCTGTCCGGCACAAGCTCCTGCAGCTGCCTCCATGGGCTCCCTAGGGTTTCTCTGAGTCCTTGTCTGCCCTTAGTTTCTCTCGCAGGCAGAATGGACTGTGCCACGGCTTTGCAGCCTTCCCCGTGGGCGTGAGGCTTTGCTCATACTGACGCCGCCCACCTTCTCTGCCCTCCCCCTGCGCCAGGCAGGCCTTTCCTGCACTCCAAACTCTGCTCCTCCTCCTAGTATCCTGCTGTCCCCCAGGTGGCCCCTTCATCCCTTCTGGCCTCGGCGCCAATGGCCTTCCTCAGAGAGGCTGTTCCCGGTGACTCTCCACCACACACTGCGCGCAGCGTTCAGAGCACTCATGGCTGCTGTGCAGGCCAGCCTCTCTCCCCAGGAGGATGTCAGCTCCTGAATCAGGGGCTTGGCCGTCCTGCTTTCTCCCTGTCCCCTCTTCCTAGCAGGTGTCACTATGTATATATTTGACTATTGGAATTTAATTTGAATTTGGTCTAATTCAAGTTATTAAAATTTGTCAAGTTTAGTTATTCAAAATGTAATATAATAATATCATATTATAGTTTAATTTTCTTAAATCAGTCAAATATTTGACTTCTAATATTACCTGGTCTATGAAAGCCTTATGCAGGCTTAAAAGCTAGGGTTTTGAGGTCAGGCAGTTCTGGGTTTCATTCTTGGTTCTGACATCTATTTGGCAAGCCATGTGACAACTGTGAGCTTCAGATTCCTTATTTGCAAAATCTCTCACCGGGCAGTTGTGAGGGTGATGTAAATTATATATAAAGAACAATTAACATTAATTACTTCCCCATTTCATTCTCTGAACCTGCTGATCCTAAAATATGCATAAATATATGTGTAATAGTCACATAGCTCTTCCCACTGTGTTAACCCTTTCCCAAGTGTTTCTAGAAGACAAGGACTCCCCTCCCTCCCAGGCAGAAGAGAGCTCTTCTTCCTTAAAACCAAAATACAGAAATTCTAAGTGATTTGTCCCCCTTCTTACTTTCAATGAGTGCATCTGGAAAAGCTATGTAGCACTTCGAGAAGTATTATTGTAGGGAAAATGGAAGTTCCAGTGGCCGGGATGCTTACCTGACCCTAATCTACTTGCCCACTATGCCCATGCAATGATGTAATTGGCTTACTGCTCAGGCACATACTTACACACCTGGTGGCAATGAGCCATGTTGTCTGTGTTGCTATATAAAGAGCTCACCCCAGTGCTCTCCCCAGCTCCGGCTGGTAGAGGCAGGTTGCTGACTTGCCAGAGACAGACGTGGTTCCAGCACTCAACCTGCCACCGTGAGAATAAAACTTGGTATAAACCCTTTTACCCACAACATTCCATTGTTATTTTGGTCTCACTGAATCCAGAGTGAATTTGCCTGGGGCCAAAACCTTCCGGCAAGATCCTTGTACTATATTGTTGTTATTATTATTTAATATGATTAATATTATTTACTATTTAATATTGAATTGTATTGATTATTTGATATTATTAATTTGATGCTTATATTAAGTGATTTATTTCATATTACCTAATATTGTACAGAACATACCTTTTCTTTTGCACTCAATAGTATTTAAGAATTTTGTTGGTAAATTGTCAATTCCCTTTTCAATCTTGTTCTGCCTTTCTAGAGATATGCATAATTATTAAAAAATAATTAATGAAACTTGGTTTATTCCCACCCTATCCCCAATACCACATTTCTAAGGGGTTTTCCACTGCAAGTAAGCCACATATAACCCTATTGTTTATATATATGTTATATATATATGTTATATATATATAACCCTAATCCATATTGTTAGGAATGACCAGGCAGATGGGCAGCTCATAGCCCTTTGGCTGAAGCAGTGACATAAACTGACTCTTTTGGTCACACTTAGTGCCCATGTGCAAGGGTCTTTTTGCATCAGTACTTTAAGAATCAAGGCAGAAATTTTGGCTTTGTGTGTCTGAGCATAAGCTTTGAGTGAGGATTGGCAGGGCCGTCTGGGTTCTGGGTTGATTTTTCTGCAGCTTATTTTGATTATGAGCCTAGGGTCAAGATTACAGCCCTCAGATCCACAGGAGAAGCAGCAGCTGTAACTTGGATCTGGGACCTTGCTTAGTAACCTCCTCTTATGACCTCTGAAATGCTTGGGCTGCTCATTAGACTTCTGAAATGTCACTAGTTTCAAGCTGCTTTGCAAGTGAGTCAGTTCTTGATATAAGTAGATTTGTGAACTAGAGATATAGGAAGCTAGTGAATACAATCCCTCAGCCAAATTCACTGTCCTAAAACAAAGAGGAGAATGTGGTTAGTAAATCCCTGAATCAAGGGGCTGGACCAGCCTCCGAGAGGCTCCCGGACCCATGCCTTCCCAGCATTCCCAGGGCATGGCTCTCACCCCACACACCTGGTGGCTTTCCTACACTCATGTACCTGGCCAGTGGAGCCAGAATCGGCACATTTTCAACTGCCCTCAGTTCACAACCACCCACTTTTTCTGCCCTGTGCACTTGGAAATATTTCAGTGAAAATGGAAAATAGAGGAATAATGAGAGCTTATGAAAATATGCTCTTGGAAAAATCCAAAAGAGTGAATTTCAATTAGAGATGTGCTAGCTAATTGGACCCACTTTCACTAGTGATTTCTCAGAGTTCCCCAGCCCTGCCCGTTTTCAGAACCTGGAAGGAATGAACACTAAGTTATTCCTGGTCTCTCTATATATACATCTTTCTTACTCCTCTCAGCACCGATGCAGGTGGTAGTATCCTTGCTTTATCACTAGGAAAACAAAGTTTAAAAAGTTATGTGACACAGGATCGCACAGCAGCAAAGTGGAAACACAGTTTTGCACCCAGACCCATGTGCCTCCAAAGCTGTGGTCCACACTCCCAGCCTCCCTGCTGCACTACCTCCACTTTTCAAGGTTTGGATTTAAGAGGATTTTTAAGTAAAGTTGTTTTTATTGTTCAGAAAAGCACACATGCCAAGTGCCTCCTGTGAATCCTTCTAACAAGTTTTAGAGGCTCTGATTGTTGTTACATGGGCCATATGATTAAAGAAACCCAATGTCCAAATAGGTCCCAAAGAACTAAAACTTCAAGTGAGACAGTAGCACTGAGCTGGCTGATGTCTTGCTTCCCAGTTCTCTGTTGCTTATAGACCACGCACCTGTGTCAGATCCGGTTTTGTGTGCAGTGCTCACACACAACACAAGGAGGGAGGTGCTGTTATTATCCCATCTACAGAACAGCTGGCTACCAGCCCACAGTCTCACTGGTAGGAGAAGCTAACTGATTCCAAAGTCTGGCTCTTCACCACATGCCGGACCCCCTTTCCACCATCTCACTAGGCTCATGATGGGAGTCCAGGGCAAGACAGCACCCCCAAAAGTGCGTTCTCAGAACCCTGTGCCATGATACTAGTTCCAGTAGTTAGAAGGATGCCTCCTGGAGAGGGACACTGTTCTCCCACGTCATTTTATTGAAATTTTTTTTTACTTTGGAACACCAGCTCACAACCCTTGGAGCCAGTGTCCTGCACCCCAGGAAGCCCACTTGGGTAATGATGTAGCAGTACAGAACTGGGCTGGAGCTCTGAAAGAAGCTGTGCTAGTTAATAACAAGAAAAGCAGCTGTGGCTACCCTATAGAAATCACTGGTGCCACCCTCTTCCTTTCCTCTGGGGTTTGTAGCGTCTCTGCAAACATATTCAGTGATGAGCTTCCTACAGTCTCAGCACCTCCACTACCAACCAGCTATGGAATGAGCAAGACACGTCATCTGCCTGCCCCCTTTAGTGGCCTCACTTGGAAAACAAGGAAGGCAAGCTGGTTAATCTCAGAAGTGTGTCCTGAGCCTATTATTTAGGACGTTCTTAACTCCTTTGGCTCTGAGAACCCATGCAGGAGAATGTCTACAGAAGGCACGCTAAGGGCACAGTGATATTTTTCCACAGGAAAAAATCAGTGGGATTTAGAACATCTTTCTGCAGAGATAATTAGGGCCAGTATGCTCACTGCCTTTTCTCAGCCTGGGTTTGACCTGCTTGCACCAGCAGCTGTGCCTTCCCTTCATACTTGCCATGACTGCCGCACAGCCATGAGGCTTCTGCAGTGGCTCTGAGAGGGAGCAAGGCACTCACACCCAGTGTCTTCAAGCAGATGGCAGTGGTGCTGTCCGGTGGGGATGGGCCCTGGCGCGGGGCTGACCCCGCAGTACCTTGCAGAGCCTGGGGTTGGCCTTTTGCCATGAAATGAAGTATTGTTACTAAATGATTGTTGTTTTTTTAAAATAGGCGCCTGAATAAAATTGTTTGGCAAGCATTATCTCAAGAGGAAAAAGAAAGGTAAGCCAGTTCCTCCTCACTTAAAAAAATTTGGTGAAATTTACAGAACCTACAGTTAACTGTTTTTAAGTGTACAATTCAATGGCATTTAAGTTATTCAAAATGTGCAAACCACCACCTCCCTCTAGTTTCTAAACTTTATCACTTCAGAAAAGCACCTTGTTCCCATTAAGTAATCCTTCCCCACTCCCCTCATGCACTCGGTCTGGTAACCACCAGTCTGTGGATTTGCCCATTTGGATTTATCACACAAAAGGAATCATACAACATGAGGCTGGCTTGTGTCTGGCTTCTTTTACTTAGTTCATGGGAAAACGTAATATTTTCAAGGTCCACCCAGCTTGTAGCATACAGCACTACGTTCCTCTTGATGCCCAATAACAATGCATTGTGTGTACAGTTTGTCCATCCTTCCATTGATGTATATTTGGATTGTTTCCACTTTAAGGCTGTTCTGAATGCTTCTGCAATGCACATTCATGTAGACATTTCTGTGTGGACACACATTTTCCTTTCTTTTGAGTCCATAGGTAGGAGTGGATTTGCTGGATCACAGGGTAATTCTGTGTTTGTGAGAAATTTCCAAACTGTTTTCTGTAGCAGCTGCACCGTTTTGCATTCCCACCGGCAATGTATGAGGGTTCTTGTTTCTCCACATCCTTGCCAACATCTGTTGTTCTCCTTTTTTTTGTTGTTTTTAACTGAAGTCATCCTAGTGTGTAGAAAGTGATATCTCATTGTGGTTTTCATTTGCATTTTCTTAATGATCAGTCACATTGAACATTCTTTTCATGGGTTTTTTTTCTCTTTGTTCTATTGATGAGTGTTAAATTGATTTATTTCTTTTTAGTTTGAATCACCCTTGCATTCCTGGGATAGAACCCACTTTGTCGTGCTGTATAATCCTTTTGCTGTGCTGTTGGATTTTATTTGCTACTATTAGGTTGAGGCTATTTACCTCTATGTTCATAAAAGGTAAAAGGCTATTTACCTCTATGTTTTCATAAAAGAAAATAATCTTGTAGTTTGGCACTGGCATCAAGGTAATTCTAGCCTCATTGAATGTGTTAAGAAGTGATCCCTCTCTTCTGTTTCTTTGGAAGAGTTTGAGTGAATTTATGTTAATTGTTCTTTATATGTTTGTTACAATTCACCAGTAACCATCCTAACCTTTGTGGTGTAATATCTCTGCTGATTTTTATTTCTTTCGTGGTTAGTGATACCAAACATCTTTTCACATGCTTGTTTGACCATTTGTATATCTTCTTTGAAGAAATGTCTATTCAAGTCCTTTGCTCATTTCATAATTGGTTTATTTTGTTATTGTTTGTTGCGGTATAAGAGTTCTTTACATATGCTGTGTATTAATCACTTATCAGATATATGATTTGCAAATATTTTCTCCCATTCTATAGGTTGCCTTTTCACTCTGTTGATAGTCTCCTTTGATGCGTAGATGCTTTTAAGTTTGCTGTCATCCTATTTGCCTATGTTTGCATTTGTTGTCTGTAGTTTTGGTGTCATATCCAAGAAAGCATTACCAAGTCCAATGTCATGCAGCTTTTCCCTTCTATTTTCTTCTAGGATTTTTATTGCTTTTGATGTTATGCTTAGATCTTTAATCCATTTTTTTAGTTAATTTTTATATATGGTATAAGTTAAGGGTCCATCTTCATTCTTTTGCATGTGAATATCCAGTTTTCCCAAAACCATTTGTTCAAAAGATTCTCCTTTTTCTGACTGTGAGGACTTGGAACCTTTAATGAAGGTCATTTGACCATATTCATAAGCATATATTTCTGGGCTCTTTATTCTATTCCATTGATTGTGTCTGTCATAATGTCAGTACCATGCTGTTTTGATTACTGTAGCTTTATAATGTTTTGAAATCAGGAAGTATGAGGTCATTAACTCTGTTCTGTTTCAAGATGGTTTTGGCTATTCAGAGTATCTTGAGACTCTGTGAATTTTAGGATGATTTTTTTTCTATTCCTGCAAACTATGCCACTGAGATTTTGGTAAGGATTACACTGAATCTCTAGATCACTTTAGCTAGTATGAACATTTTAACATTCTTAAGTCTTCCAATCCATTAACATAGGATATCTTCCCATTTTTGCACTTCTTTAATTTTTGTCAGCAATATTTTTTAGTTTTCATCATACAAGCTTTTCACATCCTTGATTAAATTTATTTCTGGGTATATAATGTTTTGATGCTATTATAAATGGGATTGTTTTCTTAATTCCCTTTTTAGATCATTTGTTGTTAGTGTATAGAAATGCAACTGAGTTTTGCATATTGATTTTGTATCCCACAACATTGTCAAATTCATTTATTAGTTCTAATAGTACTTTGTGGAATCTTTAGTTTTCTACATGTCATGCCATCTGCAAAAAGATATAATTTTACTTCTTCCTTGCCAATCAGGATGTCTTTTATTTCTTTTTCTTACCTAATTTCTCTGGATAGCACTTTGTTTAGTAAAAGTAGTAAGAATGGATATCCTGGCATTGTTCTGGATTTGAGAGGAAAAGCTTCCAATTTTTTACTGTTGAGTATGATGTTAGCTGTGGGCTTTTCATATAAGGCCTTCATTATGTGAGGTAGTTTCCTTCTATAGTTTGTTGAGTGTTTTTCTCAATAATGAAAGGGTACTGAATTTTGTCAAACGATTTTTCTACATCAGCTGAGATGATCAAGTCTATATTTCTTCATTCTGCTAGTGTGATATACTACATTGATAAATGTTTATGAATTGAACCATCTTTGCATTCCAGGAATCAGTCTCACTTTTCACAGTGTATAATCCTTGTTATATGCTGTTAAATTTGGTTTTCTAGTATTTTCTTGAGGATTTTGCATCAGTGTTGATAAGGGATATCTGTCCTACACTTTTCTCTTCTTGTATCTTCATCTGGATTGGTGTCAGAGTAATGCTGGTTTCATAGAATGAGTTTTGAAATGTTCCCTCCTCTTCAGTTTTTGGAAGTATTTGAGAATTAGTTTAACTCTTCTTTAAGTGTTTGGTAGAATTCTTCACTGAAGCTACTTGGTCCTGGGATTATGTTTATTGGAAGGTTATTTGCTTACTGATTCAATCTCCTTCCTACGTATAGGCCTGTTCAAATTTTTTACCTCTTAATGATTTAGTCTTAGTTGGTTGAACGTTTCTGGGAATCAATTTCTTCTAAGTTATCCAACATATTGGTGTCTAATTGATCATAGTTGTCTCTTATAATCCCTTTTATTTTTTTGATACCAGTTATAATGTCCCCCTTTCCTTTCTGATTCTAGTTATTTGAGTCTCCTCTTTTTCTCTCTTAATTAACCAAACTAAGCATTTGTCAGTTTCACTGCTCTTTCCAAAAACCAACTCTTAAGTTTCATTGATTTTTCTATTGTTTTTCTATACTGCATTTCAGTTATTTCTGGTCCAATCTTTACTATTTCTTTCCTTCTGCTAACTTTGGGTTAGTTCTTATTTTTATAGTTCCTTGAGGTACAAAGGTAAGTTGTTGATTTGAGATCTTTCTTTTTTTAATGTAAGGATTTAGCACTATAGATTTCCTTCTTAGTACTGCTGTTACTGCATCTCATACACTTTTATATTTTGTGTTTTCATTTTCATTTATCTCAAGATACTTTCTAATCTCCCTTGTGATTTCTCCTTTGACCCATAGGTTGTTTAAGAGTGTGTTGTTTAATTTCCACATTTGTGGATTTTCTAGTTTTCCTTATGCCATTGATTTCTAATTTTGTTCCACTGTGACTGGAGAAGATATTTTGTATGATTTCAGCCTTAAATCTCTCCTAGAAATGATCTCTCCTAGAAAATGTTCCATGTGCATTTAAGAAAAATATGTATTCTGCTTTTGGCTGGTGATTTGTTCTATATATGTCTGTTGGGTACAATTAGCCTGTAGTGTTGTTAAAGTCCTCTGTTTCCTTATTAATCATCTATCTAGTTGTTGTATCCATTATTTAAAATGGGGATTGGAATCTCCTAGTTTTATTTACTGTCTATTTCTCCCTTCAATTCTGTCAGTATTTGCCTCATATATTTGTGAACTCTGACATTAAGTGCATATATATATATATATATATATTTATAATTATATCTTCCTGGCGGGTTGGCCCTTTTACCATTATATAGTGTCTGTCTTTGTCTCTTGTAACAGTTTATGACTTAAAGTGTTCATATTATGCTGATTTTTTCTTTGGCTTGATCAAGTCTGCTTTTGAACCTCTCTAGTGAATTTTTCAATTATATTATTTTTTAGGTCCAGAATTTCTGTTTAGTTCTTTTTTATAGTTTCTATATCTTTGTTGATATGCTTATTTTGTTCATGCATTGTTTACCTGATACCATTTAGTTGTCCATCTGGGTTCTCTTTGAGTCATTGAACATCTTTAAGACAGTTATGTTGAATTCTTTGTCAGGTAATTCATAGATCTCTATTTCTTTAGGTTAGGAATCTAGAGATTTATTTCATTCCTTTGATTGGGCCATCTTTCTGTTTTTTTGTATGCCTTAGGATTTTCAGTTGAGTTTTGAGCACTTGAAAAAAAACAACTCTTCCAGTCTTTACAGACAGGCATCTTATGAAAGAAGACATTTACCAATGATCTGGGCTAGGGATTCTAAGATCTCTTAAACCTTTTCTGGAGATATGTCTTCTCCAGACTTTTGTGTGTAATTTCCCAGTTAAAGTTTTCCAGTTTCTTCTCAGGATCCAATAATCTCTCGCTCCTCTTAGTGTCTGCCTTTGGTACTGCAGCATCTCTGGTGCTGTAACGAGTTATGGAACTTGCCTTTGTTCTCAGCCACCCCTAACCTGCCATTCACAGTATACTGGCATTCCCATCAGTGCTCTGAGTCAGGCAAGACACAAACCAGTTTCTCAGGCAGGCCCCCCAAAAGCCAGAATGTTGGAGGTATGTACATTCTTCTCTTTTCCTCTTAAAGGAGAAGCCAGGATCTAGGAGTTTTCTCCCAATTGTACTGCACTTTGTCAGGAAAGGTGGCGGTAGGCAAGGCAAAATGCAGCAAACTTTCCTACCCACTTCAGTGTCTACTCTTCTCAGTTTTTTGCTTGTGTGGAGTGCAGCAACCTCTTAACTGGTTTCTGGAATTCTCACAAAGGCACTCTGGCTCATTTAATGATTTAGTCTTAGTTGGTTGAACGTTTCTGGGAATCAATTTCTTCTAAGTTATCCAACATATTGGTGTCTAATTGATCATAGTTGTCTCTTATAATCCCTTTTATTTTTTTGATACCAGTTATAATGTCCCCCTTTCCTTTCTGATTCTAGTTATTTGAGTCTCCTCTTTTTCTCTCTTAATTAACCAAACTAAGCATTTGCCAGTTTCACTGCTCTTTCCAAAAACCAACTCTTAAGTTTCATTGATTTTTCTATTGTTTTTCTATACTGCATTTCAGTTATTTCTGGTCCAATCTTTACTATTTCTTTCCTTCTGCTAACTTTGGGTTAGTTCTTATTTTTATAGTTCCTTGAGGTACAAAGGTAAGTTGTTGATTTGAGATCTTTCTTTTTTTAATGTAAGGATTTAGCACTATAGATTTCCTTCTTAGTACTGCTGTTACTGCATCTCATACACTTTTATATTTTGTGTTTTCATTTTCATTTATCTCAAGATACTTTCTAATCTCCCTTGTGATTTCTCCTTTGACCCATAGGTTGTTTAAGAGTGTGTTGTTTAATTTCCACATTTGTGGATTTTCTAGTTTTCCTTATGCCATTGATTTCTAATTTTGTTCCACTGTGACTGGAGAAGATATTTTGTATGATTTCAGCCTTAAAAAAATTTAAGACTTGTTTTTGGCCTAACATGTGATCTCTCCTAGAAAATGTTCCATGTGCATTTAAGAAAAATATGTATTCTGCTTTTGGCTGGTGATTTGTTCTATATATGTCTGTTGGGTACAATTAGCCTGTAGTGTTGTTAAAGTCCTCTGTTTCCTTATTAATCATCTATCTAGTTGTTGTATCCATTATTTAAAATGGGGATTGGAATCTCCTAGTTTTATTTACTGTCTATTTCTCCCTTCATTTCTGTCAGTATTTGCCTCATATATTTGTGAACTCTGACATTAAGTGCATATATATATATATATATAGATTGGAATCTCCTAGTTTTATTTACTGTCTATTTCTCCCTTCAATTCTGTCAGTATTTGCCTCATATATTTGTGAACTCTGACATTAAGTGCATATATATATATATATATATATTTATAATTATATCTTCCTGGCGGGTTGGCCCTTTTACCATTATATAGTGTCTGTCTTTGTCTCTTGTAACAGTTTATGACTTAAAGTGTTCATATTATGCTGATTTTTTCTTTGGCTTGATCAAGTCTGCTTTTGAACCTCTCTAGTGAATTTTTCAATTATATTATTTTTTAGGTCCAGAATTTCTGTTTAGTTCTTTTTTATAGTTTCTATATCTTTGTTGATATGCTTATTTTGTTCATGCATTGTTTACCTGATACCATTTAGTTGTCCATCTGGGTTCTCTTTGAGTCATTGAACATCTTTAAGACAGTTATGTTGAATTCTTTGTCAGGTAATTCATAGATCTCTATTTCTTTAGGTTAGGAATCTAGAGATTTATTTCATTCCTTTGATTGGGCCATCTTTCTGTTTTTTTGTATGCCTTAGGATTTTCAGTTGAGTTTTGAGCACTTGAAAAAAAACAACTCTTCCAGTCTTTACAGACAGGCATCTTATGAAAGAAGACATTTACCAATGATCTGGGCTAGGGATTCTAAGATCTCTTAAACCTTTTCTGGAGATATGTCTTCTCCAGACTTTTGTGTGTAATTTCCCAGTTAAAGTTTTCCAGTTTCTTCTCAGGATCCAATAATCTCTCGCTCCTCTTAGTGTCTGCCTTTGGTACTGCAGCATCTCTGGTGCTGTAACGAGTTATGGAACTTGCCTTTGTTCTCAGCCACCCCTAACCTGCCATTCACAGTATACTGGCATTCCCATCAGTGCTCTGAGTCAGGCAAGACACAAACCAGTTTCTCAGGCAGGCCCCCCAAAAGCCAGAATGTTGGAGGTATGTACATTCTTCTCTTTTCCTCTTAAAGGAGAAGCCAGGATCTAGGAGTTTTCTCCCAATTGTACTGCACTATGTCAGGAAAGGTGGGGGTAGGCAAGGCAAAATGCAGCAAACTTTCCTACCCACTTCAGTGTCTACTCTTCTCAGTTTTTTGCTTGTGTGGAGTGCAGCAACCTCTTAACTGGTTTCTGGAATTCTCACAAAGGCACTCTGGCTCATTGATTTTTGGTAAGTTAATGTCTCTGTGGGGGAATGAAGGTATAGGGTTTCTAATCCTTCCATCTTGCAGATGTCATTCCAATTTAGATTTTTAACAAAAATTTTTGCTGTTGTCTGGACACAAATTTGCTTGTGGATTGAGTCCAACACCCTACATCTAAAGGAAGAAAGTGACACCTTCAGCAAAAGGTGATAATTATGAAATGCCTGTCTCTCTTTCTCTCGTCTTCTAGGAGTGTCTGACTCAGTGGTAGTTGGGTCTAGAAACAGAATCCAGGACCTGGGCCATCACACCACACTGGCTTTCCCTGGAGTCTCATAGCATGTTCATCAGCTCATAGGAAGTTTGGCTTCTGTTCTTTGTGCACCAAAACAAAGAAGCCAGAAAGTTTAAGCCTAGGTAGGCTTATAGGAAGGAGAGGAGATCAAAAGAGCTAGAATGAGCTAGTAGAAAACCTACTCTCCTGAAGCCAACACCTGGGTTTGATCTTGGTTTGCTTCCCTTGCTTTGTGTGCCAGGGCCACTGCTAAGCACAGTTGTGTGAAAGCTCTTTGAAGTTCATGTTTGGTTCTGCCAAATGTCAGGCCTGGGGAAGAAAGAATGGGTTCCAGATATGCAAAAAACATTGTTGGGAAAAAGAAGTCGTCTATGTCAGACTTTTTTAATGATCATAGAATCAGATTAGGTAATGGGGAAAAGTGCCCATCATGATTCACAGACATGGTCATTTTTAAGCCACCAAAGTCCTGAGAGACCAGGAAGCGTGGCTGTGAGTCTGTCAACTGATACCTGGTGTCTGCTTTGCTAGATGTTTCTCGGGGGAGCGTTTACTGAAAAAACGTCCTTCTTTGCTGTTTTCTCTTCCTCCTCTTCCTCCCCCTTTCCTTCTCTTCTTTATTCTCCTCCCTCCCTCTTCTCCTCCTTCTAGGTTAGATGCAAACAAACCAATGCAGTACTTGGAAAACAAGGCAGCCTTAAACAAGGCATTAGAGCGGTTGAATTGGCCCATTTCATTGAAAGAGCTGTCGATTCTGGAAAACGAAATCCTAGCTGGGAAAATGTACATCAAGCAGGCCATGGAACTCCAGGAGGCTGCCAAGAAGGGGACTCATGTGAGCAAGACCCTGGAAGAGGTAGGTGCTGGTGAGGGTCTGACTCTCCTCCCTCCGTCCTGTGCTAAGGCACTGCCAGCACTGCCTTGGCCTTCCCGCCTCCCCCACCCCTACCACACTGACTTCCAGAAAAGTTAGAGCAAGGCCAGTTCTGGTGTCGGGACTTCTTTCCAACAAAAAGCAAATGTCATTTGATTTTACTGTGCCTTACTTTTTAAATAATACATCTTTTAATTGAAAAACACAAAACAGAAGTATAATATAGTGATTACAGATCTGGACTTTGTATGAGCCAGAGCAGAGTCCACCCTCAGGTCTACCACCTAATTCCTGTTTGATCTGGACCAGTTCTCCATCTCTTTAAAGCTCAGTTTTTTTAATCTATAAAATAGGAGGATTACTAATATCTGCCTCATAGGGTCATTATGAGAGTAAAGTGAACTTGCAAAGTACTGAGTATTTGAAGTCCTCCCATAAGTGTTAGCGTTATTAGTAACAAAACAAACTTTCTGGGAAAAAAAATTGACAACCTGACTGCCTTATTATTACCACTTTGGATCATTTACTTTTAGCTTTTTTCCCTCCTTAGATAAATTGTTGACATAGAAGCAGAATGTCCATAACCATTTCCTGTTCTGCTTTTTGATACAGAATTACCCCCATATACTTCCTCTGTGTTTTTTCCTGACTCTTCAGATTGATATTTTTGTGGTTACTTAATATTCCATGGTGTGTAAATACCCTGATTTATTAAGTTCTTCATTGAATGTTGGACATTTGGGTTATTTCCCAATGTTCTTCTCTTTCACATAATGTTTTAATGACTTCTGTAGTTCATGTAGTTTATTTTGTTAGGATAAACTTTTGGGTGTGGGATCCTTTAATCAAGGGCCTGAACATTTTGGAGCTATAAATACATGTTGCTAGTATAAAACCCCTTTCTGACTGTGCTTGGATGTGTGTAGACTAGAATCAATCATCCAAGATCTCACAGATTTCTATATAATTTTCATACATTTACTATATGGTAGGCTAAAAAATATACCCAGAAACTGATCTTTCAGATTCATCTTCTGGATTCATCTTTTTGCTGAGTGATACTCATTTTGCCTGGCCTTAAATTCTGTATTTGCTGCTCTAAATTCTTGTGTTCTGTTTTATTTGTTTTTCTTTAATTCTATTTTTCTCCCAGGAATCACATTTTCCTTCAGTGTCTTTAGCACAGAATGCAAAAATTTTATCACAGCTTATGTGTATTAATTTTATTCAAACAAAGTGACTTGTACAGAGTCACTCCTTGGGGGGCACCTGATGCCTCCACACACGTGGCTCTGTTGACGTTCCTCACTGGAACACACATTCAGATAGCACCCACTAGCTTTGTTCTGAATCACAGGAGGCTGCTTTTCACCGCATTAACAACACTTCCCATTTTAAAATTGAATATATAGATAAAGGAATAATGGTGGCAAATTCTGCTGCCAGGCAGTAATTTCTCCACAGTTCGACCTGGGAAAATCCATCATTTGGGACCCATAATGGTCTGTCTCTGCACTGGAATGAGGGTGGGGCATGGCTGTGTGTTCAGCTTCTCCCAGTGTGTAGAGTAGTGCTTGATACCCCATGGGAACTCTTAAATATCCCATCCAATAAATGAAAGAACAAGCAGAGAGGAAGGGCATGATGAGTAAAGGAGCAGATTCTTGGGGAGAAGGAGTCAATCACATTAGGCCCTTCAGATTCTTAGGTGTCCACAGGGCATCCGGGGAAGAAACGCCAATAAATAGCCACATGTTTGGAGCTTAGGAGAGAAGTCTGGGTTAGGGAAATAGATTTGGAGGTCAATGGGGTGCTAAGAGAGAAAGAGGAGATGGTGGAAGGGACCAGACAAGAAAGTCAGAGGAGCAGGAGGCCTGGGGTAGAGAGTTGTGATGTGAGGTCTGATGGGGAGAGGCAGACAGACCTGAACACAAGTCTCAGCACCTTCACCTTCTGTGACCTTTCATGGGCCTCTAAGCCTGTTTTCCTCATCTTTAAAGCAGAGAAATCAAAGTACCTACCTGAAAGATGGGTGTGAGACAACACACACAATATGCTTAAGGCCATGTCTAGCTCAACAGTCCTAAGACTCTGTAGCCCTCAACACACATGAGCAAGCATTCAATAGTAAATGTCCTCAACATGTATTGTCCGTTATTGCCATTTCTATTATTAAAGTTTTACTGAGGGGTTTTGAAAAGTCATATAGAATAATGTCTGGAAGCTATTTGATTCGGCAAAAGAGAAATCATTAGTGGTCTTAGCCAGAATCATTTCAGTGGAACTGTGGGAGCAGAAGCCAGTGTGCAATGAGTGGAGGAGTGGATAGAAGAAAGCAAATACAGGAAGTGAAGATTTTTGTTTCGAGATCTTCATGGGGAAGGAAAGGAAGAAGAGAAGGCAGGCACTTGAGGCATGAGCCAGAGCGAGAGGAGGCATTTGGTTTATGTACTGGTAGTGTTGATGGTGCTACGCTGCCCCCATTCTTGGCCGGAGCTAAGTCTGTCCCTTCACTGCCCTGTCCCCGCACAGGTGTCCAAAGCCCCACTGTCTGTTCAGGGGTCATCCATGGGCCCAGGACAATTGTCTACAGGAATGAATGGGTGGAGGGGGGTTCATACTTGGCAGTTCTTTCCACTCCTAGGCTGGTCCTCTGCAATGGAAGATTTTGTGTATTGTTTTCTTTAAACAATACTGCTCCTTTCCCTATGTGATGTATTCTGAGATATTTTTATTCCATTTTTATCATGTCCCACTGGTCTGAGTTCATGACCCAGTAACAGGTCTTAACTTCCAGTGTGAAAAACATCAGTGGTACCAAAGGTGAAGATTGCGAGGCCTTATGAGATCCTGGGGTGAAAGTTTACCACAGACGAAAGTCATTTTTACTGAGTTGTATATAAGCATAGTCTTATTTTACATTCTTCTAGAATAGGCCAAAGATTTCGATCACTGGTTGTAAACTGGAGAGGAAGAAACCTGTTGTTTATTAACACCTCCTAGGATTTACTGATAATGTGTGGCAAAAGTTTGTTTGGAGTGGTATTCAATCAGAAATGCCCAACTATGTTCAAAAGGGAGTGGTTGCCGTATTGTGTCCACTTCAAGCACCTTAGGGAGCCTGGATGTCTGTGGTTCTCTGATGCTCACCTCTACAGTACGCAGCCACCCCATCGGTTCCTGAATCTGGGCTAGGTTCACGATTTTTCTGTGGGTGAGGATCAGAGATGGGAATGGCTGTACAAGCCAATGTCCAGCTAGCCTGCACCTCACTTGTAATCTTTCCTTCGCATCTCTTGCTGGCCTGGGATCAGCCTAATGGAGAACTATTATCCCACTTGCTCTGCTCAGCGCCCTGCACTGGTCATTTTCCATGCTCTGATTGCTTCCCCCTGTTTCCACAGTCCACAAGTTTTGTGGCCTCCCCAGGGTGCTGGGCTCCCAGACCACACAATGAAAGAAGAAATCTGAAGTCTGAAATGTTACATTCCCTTTGAAAACTCCCTTCCCCAGCAACCCTCTAGTTGCTATGATTGCAGATTTCACCATTATGGGCCAATCTGGCCCCTCAGGGCTGTGCTATGGTGGAAATCACCACAGGGCATCTGAATTAGAGCTAACCTTCCGGGCTTCTCCCTAGGAGCCTGGCTTAGGGCAGTCAGTGTCTCCTGCAACATTTCCTTACTTGGAAGGACTGTCCTCTGGAGTAAATCCCACAGAATCCAGGCCCAGAAAGATCCAGCAGGCTCTCCATACCCATAACCTTGACTTCCTGGGAAAATCTAGAGGCGGAAAGTCTTGTGAAGCTGTAAGCAGCTGTCAGCAACCCTACAAGAGGCCTTGAAAATGTACCTGCACAGCGGGCTGCACATGTTTACTTACCAGAATTGTGACTGGCAAGAAATCTGGAGTCTGTGGCCTTTAGGAATGGTGCACTGAGCATTCTACTCCATGAAAAACTAATCAGGAGAAAGAAAGAGTTAGGAAAATGCATAGAAGTAGGAGGACATGGGTGTGGCTGGGTGATGTGGAACTGGAAGAATGAAGGGAAGAGGAGAATTGGGTTGTGACTTTGGCACAGGAGGATGTTAGCCGGGGAGACTTAGAGAGAAACATCTTTGAATAGTATAAAATGATGTCAGAATAAGTAGAGTTGTTATCTTTACTCCAAAATAATAATGGGACCAACTGTCATTCTTGAATTGCAACCCATCCTTTTGTTGAGGGGAGAGGTTGGTTCAGAAATGCAGGGAAGTCAGAGTACCAGGTGAGGGAGGAATTTATTAAAGAGAGAGTATCAGGGAGTGACAGATTCGAATAGTAAAGGAAGTTCATTGAACTGCTACTCAGCATGGGGCACGTCCCCTGCTAACTCCTTAAGCCAGTGTCACCTCACATCTAGTGTCTGCTTGGATCTGCATGGCATGGGAGCTGAGCCCCTACCACCCCAGGATTTGCAGGAGCTGCAGAGCACTGGATGGAGTGAGATTATGTTCTGCGAACTTCCTAGAGACAAAGAAAGGAGATTTTCAGGCAGGCTACTAAAGAGCATGACCGTAAACTACAGGCGATGGTAATTTGCAAGCCTAGATCTGGGCTCTCAGCAGCCCCTCTTTACTTATCTGAAATAGGACAGAGGGAGTGAGCATTTGAGCTTACATTTGGAGAATTAGAATGGCAAAAGTAACAAAGACACTTACCACTGGAAAAGTGCAGAGACAAAATTTTATAAGTTGAGCAGTGAGAAGTTTATTTAAAGCAAAAAGGTGCACACTCGGAGAAAGGGGAGTGCAGGCTACCTCAAATAAGAGGCGCTGAAAGATTTGGAAAATGCTATACACTTAGAAAGTGCAGGCAACCTCAAAGAGAGGTGCACCCCTAAGGTTTTTAGGGCCTGGGGTTTTATAGGCATTGAGAATTTTCAGGAATGCGACAAAGGGCCAGGTGCAGACTGGCCAAATTGTCTCAGAATGTTCAATTTT